TGAGTGCAAAGAGAACGTTATTAAAACCGAAGCTATTTGGTAGAATGGTATTCTTAAAACGTAATATGAAAACGATTATGAACTTTCGTAAATGTAAAACCAACAAGCTTTTATAAATGTTATGCAAATTATATATTAGCATTAAGTAATTAATATGTAGTATCGGTATAAATTTAATATCATGTTAAATTTTTTTTTATAAGATTTATTATGTTTTTGATATCTTAAAAAAAACTCAGTGAATATTCGAATATTTGGTCAAAATTTTTCACCAATGCTTGAAACTCTAAAGTTTGTAATTGAACAATTTTTGAAATTCATCGGTTCCAATCTCTACTCCGATGATAGATGAATTGTCTATTAATTAAATACAAGCTTTTGACAAAACCAACTACTAACCATATCTCAACTGCAATAATAGCAAAATTCTTTCACTGGGACACAACATTCTTTAGAAGCTTCATTTGTATTTTAGCAACTAGACCACAACACCAAAAAGAATTCAATAACCTATTCTTTAATGACTTGGAAATATATAAAAAACAATATGATGTCCTAGCTACAAATAAGAAAACTGTAACCAGATCTTTGAATTACTGCAGGTAAAGCTAGCTCTAGACTATCTCATCAATCTAGACTTCAACTCATTAGATACATAGGAAATTACGAGATACATATTCTACTTAGCGGGCTTTGCAAAAATTCCAAAATATTTTAACTTTGAAACAATACAATGGACAATTCAAATCTCATTACAGATGTGTTAATACCCCTATCTGTAGAACCAAAATTTATTTTTAGTTATCTACAAAGAGCAATTCCTTTTAACCTACTAATTTCAAACAGACAACTTATCGTATCTGTAGTTAAGACTTTACAGTTAATGTTCTTATTCAATAGAATATTAAATACATATATTGCTGATATCAGAGAGCCCTTGTCTACTTCTTACAAGCAATTAAGAGTTGAAGTATGATACCTCTTTCCTATCACAAGCAGTGCAGATCTATAAAAGCTAAGACAATATAGAAAATCATTGCAGAAATTGTATTTCTTTAAACAAATCTCATTAGAATACTTTGATTTACCTGCTTCTAAGCAACCTTTACCTTGTACTTCACAAGACTTAACACCAAGATTAAAGAAAAAATTTCCTTTTTTGTCCAAAAATCAAGAAGACTTCAAAAAGTATATCAGACTCTTACAGATAGATTATTTATTCACAAGAACTCTCTAATAATTATATTATTTCTCGCAAACATTTATCTTCAAACCCAATACAACTAAAAATTACAAACTTTGTATTCCTTCTACAAAACAAAAAGAAGGCAAGTACTTTTATCAAAAGTATTCTATCTATCTATAATATCCTAATACCACTACCCTTAGCATACTGTAACTTTAACTATACAGACCTCCCAGACTTATCTGAAGATGCTAAACTAGTTATACAGATCAATTTGATATTACCAATCTTAACTTCTAAAAAATTAAATATTGTAGCCAAAGTACTACATAAGTTGTAACCATATCTATTAAGGGTAGATAGGTCAGGGATGATTGTTACGTGAAAACTAAGCAACTTGTGTTTATTTTTTTCTTTATTATAAAGAATGCCAGCAAAAGCCTAATTAGCTTTCTCTCTCTTTTACATATTTATATTGCATATTGCAATACAATTACTTAATTATGACTCAATACAATTACTTAATTATGACTTCGAATCGAACGCATAGTTATTATGATTCCTAATTACTCAATGTTCAATCATGCTAACATGATTCTGACCTTACATCACGTTTCACATGATATACGATCATTCTGTGAATCTTCAACATGTTTATTACATGATATGTGCATTGTGTGATATTCCCTTACACTCTCCCCCATTTAAAACAGTTTCACCAGTTTTTTCGAACTCTTTACCAAGTCTTTGTAATTTTCAAGATTAGTCAAGGGTTCTCAAGTAGCATCGTATAGCAGGTGACTTTTCTATTTTACTAAGTACTGTAGGCGATGGTAGTATGTTCTCTTGTCTAGTATGGCTTTAACTTCGTGTTCTTCTGGATCTTCGGTTGCAATTTCTGGAGGTTCTTTTCTTACTTCATCTCTAAACTCACTAGGGTAATAAGGTTTTAATAAGAATACATAGAAAACTGGGTGAATACGTAGTGTTTCCAGAAGTTTTAATCGATATGTTACTGCTGAAATTTTCTGAACAATTTTGAAGGGTCCTATGAGTTTTGCGATAAGTTTCTTTGATGCTCTTTTTGCACTTTTTTGTAGAATTATATTTGT